CCCCAAAACCCCAAAACCCCAAAACCCCTCATTGCCTCAATCTCAATTTAAAGTATCCTTAAAGTATTGCTCATATAATTAAGAATATTTAAATTAAAGGATAAGTCTGAAATACTAAATTCTTAGAATATGCACATTCAAGCTAAGGCTAGACCATTTTCGTACAATTATCATACAAAAAGACATCAGTCAATATCTGAAATCGCTTCTAACGCTATAGATTTGTCAAGTTTTACTTAAGTTAAAGCATTCAACCAAAATTACACCGAGGTAATATACTAAAATTACCAATCTGATAACAAGTCTATGCAGGTTAAGGAATTGCAAGATTTTTAAATTTAGCATAATTTACCTGAATTTCAAAGTCAAAGTACTAAGAACTCTTTAAAAGTGAGAAGTAAACAGTTGGAATCATAGTTTTCAATAAGTGAAAGCTGCAGTCATTAGAGAATTAATAGTATTTTAAGTCATAATACTTCCACATATATGCTAAATGAGTAGTTAGAGGAAGGATTTTAGACATAGCGATTTTCATAACAATAAATTGACTTTCAACCTATAATTTAGCAGGAGTAGTCTGAATTCAAGAATAGAAGCTGCATTGAAAATGAGGGAAAAGCTGTTTCAGAATAGACAAAAAGTGAATGCAAGAGTTTTAATTCTTAAAATATTCCAGTTTCAGAAATCTAAGAATTGTTCACCATCCTTCAGAATTTCATACCAAAGATCAAGAATGAAAACTCAAACCTGAAATAGCATCTTAATCAACTAAAAGGAAAGCTTTAACAAAATGAACATGTTATATAATAGTAATTGAGGCAGCAATAAGACGTATAAACATAAATTAACTCAACGATTTTCAAAACTGACGATTTAGAAAATTAAATAGAGCATTTAAACTTAATTAGAAAGAGGACTCTAAACTATAAAGTATCTTCACAAGATTAGCTTGAGACATTATTACCTGTAAATTAAATAAATTAAGATAGAACTAAATAAATAAAAAATGAGATCTAAATGAAAATTTAAAGCCTTGTTTAAAGGAAAGAAGAGCTAATGAAATAAAATAATAACTTAATGTAAAGTGTGATCTCTGATTATAAGGAGAGCAATTTAGATTTACAAAAATGCAGAAAGTGTAAACTAGATTTTTTCCCGTTGCAGAATACAAAATCATAGTATCCGAAATGCATCTTTCATCCAGGAAAGCTTAAATTCTACTCGTGTAAAGGTTGCGGCTAGGATCAGTATTACACATGCTGTGATAGATGCAGCAGGTGTAGTGTAGGTTGCTAGCAAGCAAAGCATGTATGCTGATAAACTATGATATATCTATTAATATTTTGGTTTTATGAAGCTAAATTTAAGATTATTAATTTATTTCATTAATCCTTTAAAATAGCAAATAATTAATAATTCATGCTTAGCATTGAATTTATCTCCACTCATGTCAATTTACATTTAATAATATGTTCAATCACTTTTCTTTTTCTCTATTTTTTCCATAACAATAGCCTGCACAATATCCTTGAGTCTTTTGATATCATCACCCACTTTATCAGATAACTAATAATGTGTGTCTTGCTATTTAGTATCATTTTCCTTTTTGTGTGAGCATTTATCTATTCTGCTAATTAACCAGGAATTGACTCTTGAAATTGAACCAAACACTAATCTAAATAATATAGTTGACCTAGGATACTACTCTGTGACAAAGTTATAACCCTTAACAAGGTGACTCTCGTATAGATTTCTCAATAATGGCTCTAAGACCTTTAAGAATGCAGCATATGGGATCACCAATACTACTCTGATGAGAATCTCAAGCATTTAGGGAAGCGCTCTTGCAGGATCGCTTTGCTCTTCCTATTATTCCTCACTTTCTTTCTCTTCAACATACTCTTTGACAAACTAATCCATATTATGTGATTCTTATAACTTCTTCCAATCATCTTACTTATTCTAAGCTATCTCTAATTGATCTCTTAGCTTAAGTGCTTCCTAATTCTTTGGATCAACTTACTAAGCCCTTCTAAGCAGCTAATTTACCTAGTCATACTCTTTTGATCTCAAAAGTATCCTGCTCATTTCGATAGTGCAAGGTACATCGTACATGTGCAAAATAAACTGAATGTCATCGTGGTCTTGTTCAAAGTTGAACACCTGACACTCCAAGATGGTCCTAATCATTGCAAGACAATGATAATAGCCTTCTACTGCCTCTACATCCATTTTACTCTTCGCCAGATCTGCTGATGATTCGCATTGCTTATCAAGGCTGTCTTTGATGAAATCTATGATCTCTGATTTATCTTTGTGATCAGCTTTCATATTCTTAAGATCTCTCTTGAATTTTTAAAGATGCTCAGTTTACTTTGCCTATTTAGATTACTGTGATGTCATTAATTAACTTGATTCGTATTTTATTATTTTATCATTATTTCAATTTATTAAGCCATTTTATAGGAGTTATTAGTCAGCCGGGGTTTTGGGGTTTTGGGGTTTTGGGG